ATAATTTTCATCTTATAAATTTTTTTAGAATTGAGTTATACTCAAACTAATATTCATTAAAATAAAATAAAATAAGACACACTTTATATTTTGCAATCTTGTATTATATTTTAAAATAAGATATAAATAACATACACCTAAATAATCAACATACTTTCATTTAGTTGATTAATACTCTGTACTTTCAAATGTCATTGTGTATTTGTATTGTCATACTAATCCATTATCAATATCTAGCTTGAAGTATAATACGAAAATAAATCTATGTAGTATAAAAAATATCAAAAAGTAATAATAACTAAAATAGAATAATAAAACCCTACTTTATGTAAGAAAAAAGGTAAAAAGTAAATTTAATAAGCATTTTAAGGATACAAAAATAATAAAATGTAAGAAGTTAAAAGCTAAAACTTAACTTGAAGTGAGTGTTATACAAAACGCTGCAAGCTATTCAAATATGTGCGCTTACCAGACATTACTAATATGGTCAAATAAATTTTTTGATCTAGTAAAGAAAACTAGAAGCTAGCTTAAGATGCTTGCTAAACATATTCTAATTAAGGTTGTCTTTAGTTCAAAAGTTTAGCGGAAAACTAAAAAAATAATGGTAATTGAAAGATGTTAGCTAAAAATTACTAAACTAACTAATTAAGTTTTAAGTGTTTGATAAAATTATTTATTTATAAATTACTGGTAAATGTTTATATGATACTTTTATATAAATTTTAATTTAATTTTATAAATAAAATATATTTTTGGGTAATTATCACTTTTTGACATGTTTAATTTTATTGAAAATTTTAATTTTAAGCAGAAGTTTCAATTTATTTAAATTTTTAATTTTTGTCTCAAGATTTAGAAAATCGTGATTCTTTCAATCATAGTTTCAATTAAAATTATAAGCCAATCAACAATAACAAATACAAATACTAAGATAACACTCGGAACATTAATAAGCATTTTTAAAGTACCAATTTTCATAAAATAGTCATTTTAATATTAATATTCATACATAATGCTGACAATGAGTATTTAAATGTATTAACAGTATTCTTAAAAAAAAAATGAGCACCCATACGACTGACTAATACAAGTTGTAGCTTATAACATAAATTAAAAAAGTTGATATAAAAGAAAATTTTCAAATTAATTTATTTATAAAATAATTTATCTTTTACAGAAATTTATTTATTTAATTTTTTAAAATATATATGAATAAATTTATCAAAGCATACTCTAGGATTCTGATACCTAAATATAACATTGTACTGTGTTTGACAATACTTTTGTTGACTCAAACACAAGATTAGGAGCATTCATAACAGCAGACGATTGGTTTGGTGTGTCATCGAAGCTCATTCAAAGATATAGGGGAGGTCATACCAAGTTCGATCACCACTTCATCATTTGAAGTCCCATTTATTTCATTTTTCACCTTATCAATACAACTTGATTGCAAGTTATCTACATAAGAATTATCGTTGTTGCAATTTGCTTCTAAATGGTCTCTAACATGTGAATCAATTATTGTAGAAGTATTTGTTCCGAAGCAGTCATCATCTTTAATGGACTCACCTTTCTTAAGATATGCATATTATTTACAATCATAGTCTAAAGTCTGAAGTTCTTGATATTTTTCCCCCTAAAATGCATATTCTGAAAAGAAATACATTATTTTTTCATGAAAAACAACGTCCATGATGATAAACATTTGTTTAGTTGGAGGATGGTAACATCTGCATAGCATATCCAAGAAACACACATCGTAAAGCTTGAAGTGCCAATTTATTTTGGTTCTTTTGAATATGGACAAACACTACACAACCAAAAATACGAAGAGCCGAATCTACACTAGCAATGGTAACTACTTTGTTAGTGAAAGTCTATAGTGGTGTTTGAATTTTATTAGAGCTAGAAGGAATCCAATTCATGATATATGTTGCCACAGTAAGAGTCTCTCCCCAATAAGCCAAAGGCATATGAGCCTCTAATAATAAAGAACATACTACCTTCAATAAGTATCAATTTTTTCGCTCAATAACACCATTTTTGTTGCATAGTATTAGGGCAAGTAGTTTTTGATGAATAATCCCATGTGCTTCCAAGTACTTCTTGAGGTCTAGACTTTGGTATTCACGCTCATTGTCACTACGAAGAACTTGAACCTTTGCATTATATTGGGTTTCAATCATTTTGGGAAACTTTTGAAATATCAAGTTCACTTTTCCTTTGGATTTCATTAACCATAACCAAGTCATCCTTATGCAATCATCTATGAAAGTAAAAAACCAACATGATCCCCTTAAAGTAGAAATCTTATAAGGACCCCAAACATTTAAGTGTATAAGCATAAAAGGAACAAGACTTTTATTCAAACTAAGTGAAAAAGGTACACAGTGACTTTTTGCTTGTTCACATACATCACAATGAAAAAAGAGACATCAAGCTTTGCAAATAATAAAGGAAATAGTTTTTTTTCAAATAACTAAATGAAGCATGTCCTAGGCGATGATGCCATAACCTCATTTCAGTTTCCTCTTTCTGCTTGGTAGCATTATTCACCATCAAAACACTTTCTAACTTCCTATAGAATCTTTCAACCTCAAGCCCAAGTAGTATAATCTTCCTCGTTTAACACCATAACCAATCGTCTATTTGGTCTAAATGTCCTTAAACACACAAAAATTAGGCCAAAAGATAACAATACAATTTTAGGCTGTAGTGATTTGAGAAATAGACAAAAGGTTATATACTAGAGATGGAACAACTAAAACAGAATCCAAAGTCAAATTATTAGTAAGATTTAAGGATCCATTTCCAATGACAGAGGTTGTGTTACCATTAGCAGTGAAAATCAATTCTTTTAAGGATGGTTTCAAGGATGAAATTTGTCTAGAATCAAAAGTCATATGATCAGTGGCACCTAAATCAATTATCCATGTGCTATTAGTAATAGGTATAGAAAACTCATCACTATTACCTCTAGTTTCCATCAATGCACTGGACTCCTTAGAGGCATCACTTATGATCTTTACCTTAACAACATTTGTGCTTGGATTCTTTCTTCGTTGATCCCAACTGTGATCCCACCACTCTATATAACCATTAAGTTCAAAACAACGACTCTTAGTGTGTCCTTGCTGATTATAATGAGTGCATTTAAACTTTGAGTTGGCTTTAGAGTGATTTCCTTTTGTTTGACCTTGCCAATTTCAATTATGAGCGATCATGGCTATGTTGTCGAAACTTTTAGATTCGCCTTTCCAACTCACTCGATGTATTACCTCTTGACGAATCAATGCATAAGAGTTCCCTATTTCAGGGATATGTTCTTTGCGTATGATCTCTCTATGAATTTTTTCAAACTCACCATCTAATCCAACAAGGAATATATGCACCCTTAGCCATCCTATTGATTTCTTGTAAGTTGTGACATCTTTAGGATCTTTCATGACAACCTTATCACAATGATCCAATTCCTAAAAAATTTCAACCAATTCTTGAAAAATTTCTACCAATTCTCCGAGAGAGGCCTACCACTTTGTTTGGTAGTAAAGGCCTTTTGATTTAAAGTAAAAAATTGTAACTCATCACTTCTATCATAGAATGTATTAGATAATGCACTCCAAATTTCACACATAGTGGCTAAGCGTAAGTAATGCTTCATGATTTTTGGGCTCATGGATAGCAACAACCACCTCTTCACCTTTTGATTCTCTACATACCATTTTTCATAATCAGGATCTTGCTTTGCTGGTTGTTTCTCCTTGTCTCGAATATATACGTTTCTCCCTCTCTACAATATGCATTTTCATTATCTACGACCATATGTTGTGATTTGTTTCAATAAGAATGATGCCAGCATTGAAGGTACTTTTAGATTGAATAATGACAAGAGTTGAAGCCAAAAATGATTTGGGTGTAAACATTTTATGGGTTTACAAGATATTAAAAAAAAGTTAAAAAATGGTGAATCAATAGTTAAAAAAAAAGGGCTCATGATACCATATTGTAAAAAGGCTTTCAAGTTTAATTTTATTATTACAGAGAATGAGTTTGTATACAACAATAACAAAAATGATATATCTTTAAAAAATAATCAAATTCCTATAATTAAGTTAATTCATATAATTAAGTCAATCCCTGAAAATTAATTAATATAGTAAATCAATTTATATTTGATCACGATACAGTAAATCAATAAGAAATCTCAACAATGTAATCACATAAAAGGGTGTAACATGTATCACCCATCTTCTAGAATATGATACTTTCAATTCAAACACTTTATATTTACTTATTTTTTATCTCCTACTTTTTTCTAAGTATCCTACTTGTTTCCTTCTCACTTTTTATCTAAACAAAGCATTAGTTACAATAGTACTCTATTCAGCCACACCCTTTAGAGATGTCAAAATGGTACTAATTTTGTCAAGTACTATTTTCAATTCAAATGACTTCAAATTAATATTTTAAAATTTAACCAACTTATCCCTCAATCCTTAATTATGCCAAATACACCTAGATTTTGAGTTCTTGTCCCGACACCCGCCACTACTTTCCAACTTTCGCTGCTATTCCTAATTTATTATCCTATAAATGAATAATATTGGCTGATACTTCATCATCGTGGCCACGCCTCACCAAACACTTTTCTATTATTATTCTTACCCAGACAGTACATTGTCTTGCGTCATGTGCGACATCATTAAACTGACAAATTACATCATTATGGGTAGATAATGAGTTATTTTCTTTAAATAAATTTGATTTACTGTTATTGTGTATGAAAAAGCCTTTAATGGTAGAAATAAAATTTAACGTTATGGAAATTTAAAGTAGTTTTATAAACACTCATAAAATCTTAAGATCTGTTCTAATTCTAATGAATTCTGGACTCATTTCACATAAATTTTTGTGTAGAAAAAAACAGTATTGTTAGTTAAAAAATGTTACATCAATAATCCCCACGTGGTATAAGATACGGTCATTATCCATATTTGGATTAACCCTTACCTCTCACTCTTCATATCTTTGTTTTTTCCATTATTGCGTGATGGTCACCGTTGAATGCCAACTCTTTCTCTACCGGCTTTTTTTATTTTTATGAATTATTTGGTCAGTGGCAATCCCAAGTGGATTCCATTCTTTATTACAATATGAATATAAAATGTGAACTCGAATAAGAGAGATGCCTTTTCATGGGTTAGAAACACTGCAATAATTAATGAAGGCCGTGAAGTTTGAACACGACAAAAGTGAATGAAGTAATCAACTAAGTCAGCATGATTTGCTAGGTGCTTCGTTTCTCTTCGGTCTAAACCACCACCAATACTATATTAGGAGAATTGTTGAAAGTCAACTGCGGAGAGAAGAAAACATGCACAACTCGATGTTCCTGTCGTTTTCCATCTGTGAAATTGTGGCTTGTGAACAAGGGCAAGGATGAAATAAAACCAATAGGGTCTTTCAATATGGTTTCAATATGGTGGTTGAGGGAGTTTCTTTTCTTATTGAGAGGGGTTGACTTCACTAGGAGTTGAAGACAATGGGTGAATATTAAAGGAAATGATGGAAAATGATAGAACGTGATTGTGGTTCCAGAACTGCTACTTTAAAAATCAAAGTTTGAGAGAGAGAGAGAGAGGGAGAAAGAGAAGTTGGCAACAGGCAGAAAGTTCAACACCCCAAAGAGCTGTTTTCAAATAAATTTTGTCATTTTTTTCCCATCAAGTCAACTTACCAAGAAAGGTTGTGTCTTTGGATGGCGTTCTGGGATTTGATGTATATGAATTGAAAGGGTGATGATATTGGTGTAGTGGGTTTTCAACTGGTTTGGTGAAATGAAGGGTGTTCTTTCCATCAGCTTTTTGTTTTGTTGCTTGTTGCTGCTTTTGGATTCTTCAATATCGCTTCCTCTATGTGTTGATTCGAGTGAGTTTTTCTCTCTTTTTCCTTAGCCTTTATTGTGTGTGTTTATCCATAGTTTTTGTCTATTGAGCAGGCTTTGTTTCTCTGTATAGGAGCACCCATTACCCTGAACAAGACACTTGGATTTTGTCCTTACAATGGAAGCACGTGTTGCAACTCCACAGAAGATGCACAGATAGAGAAGCAATTCCGAATTAGCAACGTATCTGATTCTAGCTGTGCCTCGGTTTTGAAATCAATACTTTGTGCGGTAAGATTTTGTTTTTATTGTGTTTTTCTTTTCCTTTTTCCAAAAGCATGTATATTAGATAAGGATCCCGAAAAATGTCTTTTTTCTTTACCCCCTTATTTGGGGTATGCCAACAAGTTCTTCATGTTAATACGTGGCATTAAGTTCCAATCAAGAATTAATGAATACGTTATGGGGCCTTGATGAGTGGAATTTGGGTTCAAATAAATGACCTTGCAAGATTTTGGGTAGGATAGAAAAAAAAAAAAAACACCACAGTTCTTCCCAGAACACCCCTATTTCACATCATGAATATTGGTTTATATACTGATATTTTTGGCTCAAGAGTCAAGAGCCTCCTTATCAATTTCTCATGGATAGGAAGTGCACTTTACATGCTTCAAAATCTAAACTTCTTTATGGATCAAAAAAAAAAAAAATCTAAACTTCTTTATGTGTGTTTGAGAACTAGTTAAACTCAACTGGGTTGAAAAAAAAAACTACAAGTTTTTTTTTTTTTTTTTTTTTTTGCATTGGAACGTATATTTTCCCTAAACTAATATCAAACATACACTTTGTATTGAAATTTCCAGGTTTGAAAGCAATAGTCATGTCATGGTATAGTTTTGTTTTTCTTATAATCTTACGTATATGTTGACATCTTTACTAGAGACCACTGTCACACTTATTATGCCTTGGATTAATTTCTTTCATACCTTTGTTGTTAGAGGTGTGATCCATATTCAGCGGAGCTATTTACAGTTCAATCCTCACCTAGATCAGTTCCTGTGCTTTGCAATTCCACCATAGCAGCAAATTCTTCTCAGTCAAAGACTGAAGTGGAAGATTTTTGCTCTCAAGTATGGGACACATGCAAGGATGTATCCATAGTGAATTCCCCATTTGCCCCTTCATTACAAGGCCAAGCAGGAGCACCAGTTCACACCAATGCTTCCAAACTCACTGATTTATGGCAGTCCAAAACTGACTTTTGCACTGCATTTGGTGGATCATCTGATAACTCATCAGTGTGCTTTGAAGGTGAACCTGTTTCGCTGAACAAAACTGAGACCTCTATTAGCCCCCCTCGTGGTTTGTGCCTTGAGAGAATTGGTAATGGATCTTATCTCAACATGGTGGCTCATCCTGATGGTTCTAACCGCGCATTCTTCTCAAACCAAATGGGAAAGGTTTGGCTTGCAAAACTTCCGGAAGAGGGGTCAGGAGGAAAATTGGAGCTTGATGAATCAAGTCCTTTTGTTGATCTAACTGACCAAGTTTACTTTGATACTCAATTTGGAATGATGGGCATGGCATTTCATCCGGATTTTGTGAAAAATGGACGATTCTTTGCTTCATTTAACTGTGATAAGTCTACGTGGTCAGGGTGTACAGGAAGATGTTCTTGTAATTCAGATGTTAATTGTGATCCATCAAAGTTAGGTACTGATCATGGTGCCCAACCATGCCAATATCAAACTGTTATTGCAGAGTATTCTGCTAATAGCACTGCATCTCAGCCTTCCTCGGTACACACCTCTTCACGCATAGAAAAGTAGCTTCCATAACGAGTTTAAAGATTTGTTTGGATAAATTTTTCCAAAAACACTTCTAAAAAAGAAAAATATAGGAAGGAAAAATGATATAAATTTCTCTATAAGCTTAAATTAGCATATGCATAAGCAAATTTGTAAAAATTCTTTCTTATTAGCTTTTTCTTATTTTTAACTTATGAATAAGTTTGTTTTAGCCTATGGAGAAGTTTATTTCATTACTCCTTCCTATTTTTCTCTCCAAAAAGTGTTTATGGAAAACTCTATCCAAACAGGTCCTAATTTAATGAATATACACCAAGTTATAAATGGTTTTGCAGGTGGAAAGTGCTAAACCAACTGAGGTAAGAAGAATATTTACCATGGGGCTCCCATTTACATCTCAACATGGAGGTCAAATACTCTTTGGACCTGATGATGGGTATTTATACTTCATGATGGGATATGGAGGAGGTTCAGGTGATCCTTACAATTTTGCACAAAACAAGAAATCCTTGCTTGGAAAGATTATGAGGCTTGACATAGACAACATTCCAAGTGAGTAATGCACATATATATTTTTTTGGGGGGGGGGGGCTGGGGGGGGGGTTTAGTGATACTGTAAATTTTAAGTTTTGACAAATACATTAATGGCAAAAATTGGACTCTTATGCTCTCACACTCTTGTAATGTGTATTTCTTTCTTACTCTTTTCAGGTGCAGCAGAAATTAGCAAACAAGGCCTTTGGGGTAACTACTCCATTCCAAAGGACAATCCTTTTAGTGAAGATAAAGATCTGCAGCCTGAAATATGGGCCTTGGGACTGAGGAATCCTTGGCGCTGCAGTTTTGATGCAGAAAGACCTTCCTATTTTTTGTGTGCAGATGTTGGACAGGTTTGTGATTTTTATCCTAAAACAATTTGGTGGTGTTCAATTTACACAATCAACATTAGTACATTATGGCTTGCCAAGAGACCAAAATATGCATTTCTTAAGTGAGGCATAGTTACCAGTTTCCTTATAAGAGAAACTTGAGTTTTTTTTTTTTTTTCCCTTTAAATTTGATTCCTTGATCATCTTGATTCTTAAAAAATGTAAAATTGCAAGTAACAAGCACCAACATGACTTATAATATCTTTTAATCATATCTACCATAGCACTGTAAAACAGGTTCATCATATATAGACTTTTTTTTTTTAAAGTCCATGGGCATGATCCATGCACTGTCTTAGAATTGACAATTAAAAATTAATATGTACTTACGAGACGTGCCTTTTGCTGATTAAGCATTATTCTAACACAGATGAGAATTGAATCAAAGAGTACCAAATCGGCCCCTAGTATCCCAGAATAAGCCTTATAACAATTGGGCCAAGGGACTATATAGACATTTTTGTACTGTAATTGCAGAACTGTTAACATATATTGGAGCTATTGCCGCATTTATATAGTATGATTACATATACATTACTGTTAAATCCCAAGAAGTTAGATTGGGGTTTGTTGTGCTTCAAGAGGAAGAACTTTTAAGAAATTAGGCATGAATATAAAATACTATATAACTAAAGACTTCAACTTCTATTCTATTCTTAACAATTATGCTTCCTATAAAGTGCTACACTGCTACCTGATTTTGTGAGAGTTTAGTGAAACATTCTCAGTTACATGATTGATTTTCAGGATCTTTACGAGGAGGTGGATCTCATCACAAAGGGTGGAAACTATGGCTGGCGTGTTTACGAGGGCCCCTATCTGTTCAACCCCACACAATCACCCGGAGGAAATACTTCCTTAGATTCCATAAATCCAATTTTCCCAATAACGGGGTACAACCATTCAGAAGTAAACAAGAATGAAGGATCAGCATCCATCACTGGAGGATATGTCTATCGATCCACCACTGATCCTTGCATGTATGGAAGGTAAGTAAGCTTCTTCCACTTAATACAGTCTAGGATCATAACAAATAATAATTATAAAAAAAAATGTGATTACTTAGAATGAGAGGTTGAAACCTAATTTAACTTTATAAAATCGATTACAAAATAAGGGTTACTCTCACTTATATACATTATTTTGCTAATATCATTTGTCAACAACGAGATCATCAACAGACCTTATTCAGACACACCGAAAATCTCAAGTGTGAAATTTGCACACTCCCCTCAGACTCACATTCTAGATATCTGAATTGTGAAGTTTGCACACCTCACTCATACACTCAATTATTAGATATCTCGAGTGTGAAGTTTGTACACACGATTACCAATTGAATATCTTGAGTGTGAAGTTTACACACCTTACTCATACACTCACAAATTGGATATCTCCGTGTGAAATTTGTAGGAAATAGGAATATATATTTTTATATGTAGAAGTTGGTTTCCTGCTTATGTATGCAACATTAATATTGCTTATTGTGAGATCACTGAATTTCAGATACTTGTATGGAGATCTATACGCGGGTGCAATATGGACATCCACAGAGAACCCACAAAACAGTGGAAATTTCAGCACAAGCAAAATTCCCTTCAGTTGTGCACGTGATTCTCCTATACAGTGTGACTCTGCACCTGGAAACACCCTTAAGCTTCCTGCATTAGGCTACATCTTCTCATTTGGTGAAGACAACAAGAAAGACGTTTATGTGCTTGCAAGCAGTGGCGTTTACCGAGTTGTTCGTCCAAGTCGATGCAGTTATGCTTGCTCTCAAGAAAAGGCAACAACTTCTACAACCCCACCTCCTTCTCCTTCTCCTTCTCATGCTAGTGTCCTTTCTGGGTATCTGGTTTTGCAGTTCTCGTCTTTGTTGCTGCTTTTGTTGGGTTTTGTAGAGTGGTTATGATCTTTGTACATTATGTAGAGATGGCAAGAGGGTGTTTGTTTGCCCTTACTTATTATGCCTTTTCTACGTTTTGTGTTCCTTCCCTAATTATGGTTAACTAATAAATGAGAATTGAGAAGTGAGTTGAGAGTTGAGACGTGATTTTGATTTTAAACACAATGCATGATATTAGGGAAATTTCTTTTTATTTATACACGAATTTTAATTTGAGATCTTCTTTAAAGGGATCGATCCAATACCATATTATTATTTTTACATCTTATTAATTACTACTTATTAAAAAAACACAATGTAGTGCATTAAAAAAAAAAACACAATGCAGTGCATGAATCAATTGAGTTGGAGTTTTTTTTTTTTTTTCCAACTCTTTTTTAAGTTCTTCTATAATTAAAGCTTAAAGTAAAATTAAAGAACTAATTTTAAAAGTTAGAGCTTGAATAGAAATTAAAAAAATAAAACAAATAATTACCCAGTTGTTGAAAATAAAGTAGAAACATCCACGAGAATATCCCAACTAAAACATACACAAATTTAATCAAATATTTTCTTTTTTACTATCATAAAATATACAATTTCTTAGCATAAATTTTGGTTAAATAATTTTAATTAGTGACATAATCATTACTCTATCAATCAGGATATATAAATGATAATAAGTTATCTTGCACGATGTTTTAGAGCTTCACTTTGCTGTGAGAGTGTTTTAATTTTTCAGAAGAAAAAAAATTATGAGATGAATTTTAAGGATTTTTTTTATACTTTTTTTTTATTTTTTAATTAAATTTTAAAATAAAGTATTAATAATTAAAAATAATCTAGTTCATAATATAAATTAGGTTAAATTAATTTGTAGATTTTATTGTTTTTTCAATTTTTTAATTAGATCTTTAAAGTTAAAAACACTATAAAAAAAATCTTTAGAATTTTAAAGTTATGTACTTCTCAATTTATTGACTAACGTCATTATAATTATGTTAATTTATATTAATCGAATATTGTGATATGGGAATTGTTTTTTTAAGATTAAATTATATTTTTTGATATTTTATTTTATTTGTTAGATTTATTTTGGTCTAATATTTTAAAATATTTATTTTTATTCTTTATTTTTTTATATTTGTATCAATTTGTTTCTTTTAAAATAATAATAACTTCTAATTTTATGATATAATTTTGAGTCAATTTTTGATTGGTTGGAGACGTGAAACATATAACGATATATTCAACTATATAAAGAATATAATATTCAATTGATATTTGAATCCATAAGAATTATATAAACATAATGAAAATTGTGTAAAAAATATGTCTAATGAGTAACTAGAAAATAGTATGATATTATAGTTTTTGAATTTTTAATTGTCTTTTGAACTCATTTTTATACAATTTTCATCATGCCTTTAATACTTGTTATTTGAACTTTTGTTGTGTTGAACAATTTTTATATTAGTAAATCTAATGAGACGAATTTCCTTAAATAAGTAAAAAAAAAAATCTAAAATCATATCTTAAAATTAAAAATAATCATTATTTTAAAAGAGTCAAATTGGACCAAATTTAAAAAATAAAAGACTAAAATGAAGATTTTAAAATATAAAAGATTAAAATAAATTTAACAAATAAGATAAAATATTAAAAATATAATTTAGTTTTTTTTATTAATTATTATCATGCTAACATGATATCCTAATGTAGAAATTACTTTTCATCTTTTTTATTTTTTAAAGATTTACAAATCTCTAATTTCATGTATAGCTGAAACATGCATAAATATTATTTTAAAACTCAGATTCTCTCTTACGGGGTTTTATCTCTTCCTATCGGCTAAACGACCATTGTGGTGCACTTTTAGAAACTATATACTAAAATGAGGTTGTTTTGAAACATTTTACACCTTTGGGGCAGTTTTGTTAGGTGTCGCTATGGGCCATAGCGACACCAATGACACGTGGCAAATGTGGGTCTGATTATAAGTCATGAAAGCCATATTGCTAGAGTCGCTGTAGCTGGTGGAGACTTTGAAAGAGTCGCTATAGGCTATAGCGACTCCAATCGGCTAAAACAAAATTCAAAAATATTATATTTAATACTTGTTTTTAAATAAAAATAATTTGATAAATAAATTATAAAAAAATATCTGATAAAAGCAAAAATAAGAATTGAAATTTTTTAATAAAATAAATTTAAAAATTAAGTAATATAATGTGAAAATTATTTAAAAACGAAAAAAAAAATTAAAAAACTGGGGCGCTATGGCCCAGAGCGCCTGTGAGGCGCCGTGGCCCATAGCGCCTGTCTTAAATTATATGTAATATTTGTTTTTAAATATAAAATTTGATAAATAAATTATAAAATTTATTTTTGATAAAAGCGAAAAAAACAAATGGAATTTTTTAAAATACAATTTTTATAAAAAATTAAGTAATATAATGTGTAAATAATTTAAAAACGAAAAAAAAATAAAAAACTGGGGCGCTATGGCCCAGAGCACCTGTGAGGCGCCGTGGCCCATAGCGCCTATTTTAAATTATATGCAATATTTGTTTTTAAATATAAAATTTGAAAAATAAATTATAAATTTTTTTTTGATAAAAGCGAAAAAAAGAAATGAGATTTTGAAAAATATAATTTTTTTTAAAAAAAATTAAGTAATATTGTGTAAATAATTTAAAAACGAAAAAGAAAATAAAAAAAACGGGGCGCGGGCTTATAGCGTGTGTTAGGCGTTGTGGCTCAAAGCGCCTCCTTGTTTCACCATCTGCTGCTTGCCACGTGTCAGTTTTACCGCTTGCGTGACGAATGAGGAGCTGACACGTGGCAGTTAGGTTAAAAATGAATTTTTTTACAGTTATAAAATAACGAGATGGTCCCCCCTCCCCCACTTTCACTTTCATTTGCGGCTTCCTCTTCCGGTAAGTTTGGGAAGTTTATTTTTTTGTTTTCATAAATTTATTTATTAAATATTTTGTATTTATTTTACGGTTTAATAATAATTTTTACTTTTAGATTAGGTAATTATTTATTTGGAATTCTGGTGCTGCTGGTTCGTGAGTTTCGGTCTTCGTTTGAGGTAAATATTTTTTTCAGGTTTTTTTTTTAATATTTAAAAGTCGCTATAGGGTATTTAAGTTTGCATATTTTATTTAGTTAATAATTGTTATTTATTTTTTAATTCTGTATTTTGTTTCTGTTTAATCATATTTGTTTTAAGTAGGTTTTAACTGATAATTTATTTAATTTTTATGATTATAATTGGTTTATTTGAATTAATAAATATTTTTTATATTAAAATTATTTATTTGGATTCTGTGTTATTTATGCAATATTAATTACGTGTTAAATTATTTTATTTATGTGTTATCTAATTTAATTTTGAAATTTTATATATTTTTAAATTAATTTATTTATCTTTTATATTAGTTATTTTTAAAAAATAAAAAAAGTAAAAAAATACATGTAAATAATATTATAAATAATCCGAGTTAATTGCAAAATAATTTGTACTGAAAAAATATTGTTTATAAAATAAATAATTTGATAAGTGTTATAACTGTTATTTAAAACTATTTATTTTGATTTTGTGTAATTTTTTCTGATTATAAATAGTTAATTTGAAGTAATAAATGTAATTTATATATAAATTATTTATTTGGATTATGATTATAATTACTTATTTAAATTATTAAATTATTTTATTTATCTGTTTATAGTGAAAAAATAATGTTTATAAAATAAATTATTGTAAAAAACATAAATTAATTTATTGGATATTAAATTTATTAAATCTGGTAGTAAAAATTAATTAAATATAATATTTATTTTACATTTGTTATAACTGTTATTTTTTTTTCTTTTCAGATTATTAGTTTATTTGGATTTGTTGCTGCATTTCCTCATCTCAGGTATTTATTATTTTTAGTTTTATTTTTTCCCTTATAATATTTTCATTTCAGATTATTGGTTTATTTGGTTTATTTAATTTATTAATTATTGTGATTTTTTTTTAAATTATATATCATGTTAGTGTGTTATTATTTATTATTTTCGTATAGATTATATAATGTTAATGAAATTAAAATAATAAATTATGTGTGTAAAAATAAATAATTTTATAATATTTTGTTATAGATGGCATCATCATCATCTTCTAGGGGTATGCGTGTCACATGTGGACCAGTCGACGATGATTTATTATCGTTGCAAAATATACATGTGTCACAGCATGTTTGGAACAGAGATGAAGACAGGAGACTAGTAGCACGACGTGCTGCTCCGACGCCCACTGGAATTGCAGGAGTTCCACAACAAATAATTCCGTTACTAGATCAAGCTGGTTTCGGATGGATAGCGCGTCTGAATTATATCAAAGTTAGTCCTGGTTTGCTAACAGCTTTGGTAGAGCGATGGAGACCAGAGACACATACATTTCACATGCCATTCGGAGAGTGCACAATTACTCTTCAAGACGTTGGCATGCTTGTTGGTCTTCCGGTTGACGGTGAACCGGTATTATCTCGAGGCAGTCCAAATATATTGGAATTGGGTAATTATAACTTGACTTTAAATTATTTGTAAATTTATAGTATATTGTTTATATTGATAATAGTTAAATTTTTTGTTTGATTTTATGCAGCTGAGGAGCTGTTAGGGGTTGTTCCACCGCAGTCTGAAATTAAAGGACATCGCGTCAGGCTATCTTGGTTGGCAGCAATCTTTGGGGACATTGCTGATGACATAGATGATGTAGATGTCTTGGTTCGTTATGGTAGAGCCTGGATATTACGTTATCTAGGAGGAGTGCTTGTTCCCGATAGATCTTCATCGTATGTGTCCTTACGATGGTTGCTGTTTTTGCGCGATTTTGATATTATTAGGACTTATGCATGGGGTGCAGCTGTGCTTGGATATTTGTATCGGAATTTATGCACCTCAACCGATTACAAAACCCCAAGCTGCGTGGATTTACCCTTTTATTACAGTTATGGGCATGGGAACGATTCCCAACCATTATGTCTTCGCCATTTCCACCTATTCCTCCAGCCAGTCCAATTGGTTTAAGGTACGAGCAAATTTGAAACTTTATATTTTGACAATTAATCAGTTATTAAAACATAATTTAATTATTTATAATATGTTTTTTCAGGTGGTCAAACATAGGGACCAAAATAAGTATGAGCGATGATATAAAATTTTATCGCAAATACTTTGATCGTACTACTAGGAAATCGGTAAGTAATTAACGTTTTGTAGTTTTATAAAAAAGTTTATCTACGTTATTTGTATTTTATTTTTGTAATTAAAAAAAATATTTTACAGATAATTTGGCAGCCATATCCCCCTGTTGAACAGATGCCAGGTGACTGCACATAGGGGATGCAGATTTGGGGTTCTGTAATCTCCTTACTTTGTCTTAAAGAGAAAAATCAAAACAACCCAGCAAAAAGGCAGTTAAATAGATGAGACAATCCTATACGGGCCTCTAAAGAAAGCAAAAGTTATGTGCGAATCTTCATTAAAAAAAAAATGGTAAAGAGAAGCCACTTGATACCAATAGATTTCTAAAAAGCTTAAATGCATATGTATGGCATACAGTAAAGCGCGCACTTGAAATAAAAAGGGAATTATCCAAAAGGGCAGTAGGCTGTAAACATTTTAATCCATGCATGCATCATGAATCTCTAAAGAAAGCAATCAAGATGGGAGCCACGTGTGACAAAGCATAACTCTCCCCTCACAACAGAGATCATACAAGGTCAAGTAAATCCCTTACAATGCCCAGCCATAAACAAAAAAGGCAAGCTTCGTATGTGTTGAAAAAGCCGAAGCTAGACAAAAATGAAATTCAGAAAAAGAAACTTACCATAAGCAGGCGCCTGGAGAGCCATCACAATACTTACCTCTACAAGAACAACAACAAACATTTCCTGCCCATCCACCTAGGGGCAGTCTTTCATTCCACAACCGTCCACCAACAATCAAATAACCAATCATCAAAAGGACTCAGCATTGTGCCTGGAGAGGCATCACAATACTCAAGTGACAGGGGCAACATTGGAATCCCTGCCAACCATCCACTTCTCTGCCCACCAACACAGGGGCACATCAAAACTCTTCTGCCCATCCACCTGGGGGCAGTCTTTCATCGCACAACACTATTGAGAAGACATCAAGTACAACAACAAAGTGGGTTACCTGACCTTAGTGAAAGGGTTGCTAGATCCCTACTTTGTTCTTGTACTAGTTTTAGGGATCTAGCAACCCTTTCACTAAGGTCAGGTAACCCACTTTATTTTTGTACTAGTTTTAGGGATCTAGCAACCCTTTCACTAAGGTCAGGTAACCCACTTTGTTGTTGTACTTGATGTCTTCTCAATAGTGTTGTGCGATGAAAGACTGCCCCCAGGTGGATGGGCAGAAGAGTTTTGATGTGCCCCTGTGTTGGTGGGCAGAGAAGTGGATGGTTGGCAGGGATTCCAATGTTGCCCCTGTCACTTGAGTATTGTGATGCCTCTCCAGGCACAATGCTGAGTCCTTTTGATGATTGGTTATTTGATTGTTGGTGGACGGTTGTGGAATGAAAGACTGCCCCTAGGTGGATGGGCAGGAAATGTTTGTTGTTGTTCTTGTAGAGGTAAGTATTGTGATGGCTCTCCAGGCGCCTGCTTATGGTAAGTTTCTTTTTCTGAATTTCATTTTTGTCTAGCTTCGGCTTTTTCAACACATACGAAGCTTGCCTTTTTTGTTTATGGCTGGGCATTGTAAGGGATTTACTTGACCTTGTATGATCTCTGTTGTGAGGGGAGAGTTATGCTTTGTCACACGTGGCTCCCATCTTGATTGCTTTCTTTAGAGATTCATGATGCATGCATGGATTAAAATGTTTACAGCCTACTGCCCTTTTGGATAATTCCCTTTTTATTTCAAGTGCGCGCTTTACTGTATGCCATACATATGCATTTAAGCTTTTTAGAAATCTATTGGTATCAAGTGGCTTCTCTTTACCATTTTTTTTTTAATGAAGATTCGCACATAACTTTTGCTTTCTTTAGAGGCCCGTATAGGATTGTCTCATCTATTTAACTGCCTTTTTGCTGGGTTGTTTTGATTTTTCTCTTTTATACCAAAATACGTCATTTAAAGATAAAGGTTGAAAGCACTGAGAAAAATGGTATTTTATTGCCAATTAGAAAATTTCAAGGAGGGTTACAAGAGGAGGTTTTGAAACACTGACTGAGGTTGGCCGGTGTCTGGGCTTGAGTGATCATGACTTTAAGAAACGAAGCTTGGCATCCTCCTAGTCGTCTGATTAGCACCGCTTCAAGTAATTTCTTGACTTCTATAAAGGGTGATAGGGCTTCTAGGTCATCAGTTCGTCTTGCTTTAACGCTCTTTTTTTTTTGCGCTTAAGCATAGAACTTCTTCACGGAATCAGAGTTTACTGGGTAAGCGAGTTCTTCACCATCAATGTTAGTGAGGATCAATGCTCCTCCAGAAAAGGCTTGCTTGACCATGTATGGGCCTTCATAGTTCGGTGTCCATTTCCCTATCTTATCCTTCTGTGCTGGTAGAAGTTTCCTGAGTACTAGGTCCCCCTCTTCAAATGGTCGTGGTTGGACTCTCTTGTTGAAGGCTCTCTTGATTCTCCTTTGATATGTTTGCCCGTGACAAATGGCGTCTAACCTTTTCTCTTCTATGAGATTTAGTTGGTCAAATCTGGTTTGAACCCATTCAGTTTCTGGGAGCTTTGCCTCCGTGAGTAATCTCAAAGAAGGAATTTCCACTTTGATAGGCAAGACTGCTTCCATCCCGTATACTAAGGAAAAAGGGGTAGCGCCCGTCAATGTGCGAACGGATGTTCTGTACCCATGCAATGCGTAAGGTAGCATCTCATGCCAATCTTTATGTGTAACGACCATTTTTTGAATGATCTTTTTGATATTCTTGTTGGCTGCCTCAACTGCCCCATTCATTTTTGGCCTATAAGGGGAGCAGTTATGATGTTGAATCTTGAAAGAGTCACATAATTCGGTCATCATCTTATTGTTGAGGTTAGACCCATTGTCCGTTATAATTTTGTCAGGTATTCCATAACGACATATTATGTTTTTCTGACGAAATTGACTACCACTTTACGGGTTACATGTGCGTATGATGTGGCTTCAACCCATTTAGTGAAGTAATCAATAGCCACAAGAATGAATCTATGTCCATTTGAGGCTTTGGGTTCAATGGGTCCAATGACGTCCATGCCCCACATCGAGAAAGGCTAGGGCGAGGCCATTACATTGAGCTCACTTGGTGGGACTTGGATATTATCAGCGTATATCTGGCATTTGTGGCATTTCCTAGCATACGAGATGCAATCCTTCTCCATAGTGGACCAAAAGTATCCTGCCCTCATGATTTTTCTGGCCATGACCTGTCCAGCTATATGGGTACCGAAGGTTCCTTCGTGGACTTCTTTCATTAACAATCGAGACTCCTTCTGACCAATACATCTTAATAGGATGGAATCAAAACTCTTTTTGTACAGGATGTTCTCATGTAGTACGAATCCAATAGCCCTTCGTCTGATTGTTTTCTTATCGTTGTCAGATGCCCCGACTGGGTATTTCCCTTCTTTGATGTATTGATGGATGTCAAAATACCAAGGATCTCATGTCGTCTGATTTTGATGGCCGGTATTTCACATCCCTCTTTTATATCAAACATGGATGATAGCATGGCCAGTGCATCTGCTAATTGATTCCCCTCTCTCGGGGTATGCTCGAAGTTAATGGATTCAAATTGGGACATCAGATCCTGAACATATGCTCGATAAGGGATTAATTTGTAGTCCTTCGTTTCCCATTCATCCCGTAGCTGGTATATCACCAAAGCCGAGTCGCCGTAGACTTCTAGTTTGGTGACTTCATTATCAAGCGCAGCCTGTAGACCCAATATACAAGCTTCGTATTCAGCCATGTTGTTGGTGCATTCAAAGTCCAACCTTGCCGTCACAGGGATATGTTTTCCTTGGGACGATATCAGTATGGCTCCTATTCCGTGCCCCATTATATTAGAGGCCCCATCGAAGAACATTGACCAGGATTCATTTTGACTTTGTTGTTCTAGCTCATCCTCCAAGGTCAATATTCCTTCATCGGGGAACTCTTCCTTGATCATGTGTTCATCCTTGGTTGGTCCGTTTGCTAAGTGATCCGCCAGGACACTGCCTTTGATTGCCTTTTGCGGGACATATACAATATCATATTCTGATAGCAAAACCTGCCATCTGGCAATTCTCCCAACCAGAACAGACTTTTCAAGTAGGTACTTGATAGGATCTGTAGACCCCTAAAATTGTCCGGGTCGGAAATAAGACTCGAAGACTATCAAAGATCAATGGAAAGTCAGCCAGAAGGACACCCAGAAGATCATAGGATGACTATCTGTAGGTTTAGAGGTCTTAGAGTAGCTGAAAATAAGAAAGTGAGAGGAGTGGAGCTCAATACGGCCTCTTTGGAGCTCAGTACGGCCCGTATTGCATTTTTGAACTGCAATACGGCCGTACTGAAACCAATACGGCCGTATTGATGTTTTTGAAATTCAATA